AGCTAAGAGCAGAGAATGGAGTTTAGTGCCAAAAATCTGGAGTTCTTTTTGTCTGGGGGTTTTTCCTCCCCTATAGTATGAAGGAATTGCCTGGGGTAATATCTAAATTACTGTTATGTTTTGGGGTTGTAGGCTTTTGTGCATTTTATTTCTGGTTCAAAAGATTAAAGTGGAGAGGCCTCTGTGTCGATGCAATGGAAAAGTCCCAGGGAAAGATTTGAATTCTTTTCTGGTCAGCCAACAACCATAAACCTAGTTAGTTGCAACTTTCTCAAATAAAGGACTAGAATCCACTGGAAGGAAGGTGTGTCCTTCTCTGTCCTATCCTTTGCCGTGCCCAGCCGGCAGTGGCAGTTAACCCAGTGCAGACACACCTCTTAGAAAGTCCTAGGACCTTGAAGGTGAGCTGAAGTTGACCTCTTGAAAATCTGGGCTTGCAAGGAGGATGCACTCCTGGGGCTGCCAGCCCGTGTGCCTGTGCGATGCTCTCTGTGAAAGGCTTTCCTGATACACCTGCAGGGCCAACTGTGCCAATGTGTGGGAGGAGGTGGACACAAGAGTGAGGCACCCTGTTCTGGGCTGTTCCAAGAGGTTCAGGCCTTCACAAACGCGGCTTTGATTCTATTTTTTGCTGAACTAGCTGGGCCATTTCCTGTGCCGCTTCACTGCGGGCCACTTGAGCCCCCGGAGCGGGGGCTGCCTGCACATACAGGCACCACGGCCACCAGGGAGGACTATTTTCAGCGCTCCCTTACAATGCCCTTCTCATTTCCAGGGCGAAAATGAGCGCAAGTTAGTCTTGCCTCGGTCACTTGTCAGCCTGATGACAACTTTGACTTTGACTTGGGTGCCCCTCCCCCTCCCCAAATCCCTAGCTCAGCAAATATTTGAACCTGCCCAAGTTAATCATGAAGCCGCGATCTTTATCTGAGCGAGACGGGCAGCGTCCGCCAGAGCTCCTTTCTTCCCCTGAGCAGTTGCGCGACCCAGGGGGGCTCTGCTCGCGGAGCCGCCGGGGACGTGCTGCCGGGGCGGGGCTCGGGGCGGAGGGACCGGCTACAGCCTAGCCTGGGGGAGAGGGCGGCCGGGCGGAGAGTCGCGCGCCCCCGCCTTGCGCGCTCTCCTCCTGTTAGGCTTGCGACTGCTGGTGCCTAGCGGGCGGGGGAGCCTCGGGGGCTGGAAGAACAGCTTCTTTGGATTTTTTTTTTTTCTCGGTGGGATACTGGCAGTTCAAAGCGAAACCGCTGAAATGCATAACCTACAAAGTAAGTCGCTTTTCATTTACGCACTTCTCCTCACCGGGCTCTTTATCTGCAAGCCGTCCTCTCTAGTTTGACTGGAGCGGGTGTGTGTGAGTGGCTGTGTGTGTACTGGGAGTGTGTGCGCCTGGGGAGAGCAGATGGGCGATTAGGGGGAAACACTCCCTTCTGTCCTCCAGGGGGGGACATTGTAGGGGGGAAGAGATGGCATTTAGGTTTGGAGTTTAGAAAGTGGGGGTCAGGAAGTTGGGACCAAGCCAGAGCTTGCAGAGAACATGGAAAATCACCTGTCTCTCTGACCTGCCCCCTTGGGTCCCCTTGCCACATGGCAGCAGCAGCCTGCAGCTAGGCTTCCTGTAGGAGTACTGCACACTGGCCCTTTCGGGGTGATCCATGGGTTGGTTATACTGCCAAGGGAACTTGTCCCTTTACTTTTGGGGAAGACTCAACATTTTTATTCAACTATTATTTTTTTTCCATCTTTTCTAAGGACATACTTCACCACGACTTTTTACCATTTTTATTTGAATTCTAGGATAGATTTAAATTTTCGTTTAGATTTACTTCAACTTGTAGGCAGATAGAGAAGTGTGAATTGGAAGGAACAGGGTTGCGTCTGCTGCTGTCTCCAATGAGGCAGAAATGCCCTAGGGAGGGGACTCAAGTGGACAGCAGCCAGAAGAGAGAATGCCTTGCTCTACTTTTCATACTGTGTGATTCCAAACGTGGTGGAAATCTAAAGGGGCTTCTGTGTCCGTCAGTCTTCCCACGGGTGCATAGCACACCCCCCCCCACCCAGAGCCCACTCTCATTTTTTAAAATGAAGCCTCATTCACATTGGAGCAGTACCCTCCACAATAATGTAAATGTCAAGAGATTCCGGTCCTTGGTGGCCCTGTATGTTAAAGCTCCGGTTGCGATGACAGAATCACATGCAGAGGGATTGAAAGAGCCAAACTAAATCCTTAGATTTGTAGAGAAATTGATTTCTTTATATTGAACACTGCTAAGAAGGAGTATTGTCCCCCAAGTAAAGTACTGAGCTAAAGAGAGAGGGGAGGGGAGAGAGAGAGAGAGAGAGAGAGAGAGAGAGAGAGAGAGAGAGATTACATCACCTTTTTTTTTTAAAGCAGCTAGCAGTGAGACGGGTTCCTGAGTGAGCCACTTGGCAGAGAGCACCTGAACTCTGCCTTCTGATATATGGCCTCTTATTTTGGCAGAAGCACCTCATTGTCCAGTCTTGTTAGGTAGGAAACATTGAAACTCACCAGTGTGGACCATTAATGCTATCATTTCTGCAAATAACAGGCGTCTTCATTCCTGTGCTGAGTTTGCATGATTTATTCTGTAAAGCCTCATTGTGACCTTGGGATATTCTGGTAGAGGCATTTTGACTGAGTACTGTCTTTTAGCTTCCCCCTTTTAATGTGGTACATTTATAGCCATGCTTAAGAACTGTGGGAGACTGTCTTAAATATTCAGAGCGCTTGATCCTTTCTGCTTCTCACATAGAGAAGCGATATCTAAGGGCTTTAAAATAGAGCTGAGGGGCAGTAGTTTGATGCCTCTGTAAGATTTTTATACCGCGGACTAGCCAGGCTATCTCTAAGCCCAGATGCACTGAGCTAGGGACTGAGCTAGAAGCTGCTGCCGGTGTATCAGCTGTTGTCAATCTGCCAACAGCGGAACGTACCATGCTGCAGGGAGTAATAAAAGGGAATTAAGAGAACTCACTGCTGGAAGAGAGCAGGCAAATTAAACACCTTTCGAAACGATGAGCGTGCAGACATTGCAGCTGTGTGGCATGGAGGCAGGCGCTGGGAAAGAGGCTGGGGCCGTGTGAAGCTGGCATCCAGGAGGACCGATGAAGCAGGAGTGGTCTGGTGACATTCTTCTGACTTGATTGGCTGGGGCCTGTGATGTAATAGGTTACAGTGCAGCCCCGTATAGGTTTTAAAATGAATTCCCAGGCACCATTACAAAGAAAGCCGGACTCTTTTCTTATAACTGAGCACAGCCGAGGAAACTCTCGCACAAATGTACACCACGGTTTGGACTATGGAAGACCTGGACTTAGAGTGTGCCAAGACAGATATAAACTGTGGCACAGACTTGATGTTTTATATAGAAATGGATCCACCAGGTAATGCTGCAGTATTAATGGAGAAGCTAGTTAATTTTCTGACTTTAATTTTTTTTTTTTTTTTTTTTTTTTTTGGAAAGCGGCTGTTAACAGATCCTCTCGAGATTGCTATTTTTACTAATTTGTTTCACGGTTTAAAAGTAGTCTGATTAAAACTTTAAAATTAAACAGACTGTTTGACAGTAGCAGCAAGCTCGGGCTGTATGTGATACAAGCTGGTTCTTGCTGAACGGCGGGCTGGGAACTGGATTCCACTTCTTCCGCTGCTGGCGTCCTTTGTTAATTATGTTCCTTGGCAGGTTGGGCTATATTGTTGTATATTGTTCCTTTAATTAAGGGGACGTGTCCTTTGCGCTGTTTTCTCCGCTGGCTGTGGACTCTGGCAGCGTGGTACTTTGCTGTGATGATGCCGGGTGCTTGAGAAAGCTCGTGAGAGGTAGCCGTGACTTAAACTCAGGTCTGCTGACCTGAAGGGCTTGTGAATCAGATGTTGGAGACTTGCTTGCTCTCCTGCCGAGAGACTACAATGGAAAAAGAAGTGGGCTTTCCTCGCCTTTGTGAAAGTCTTGCTAGACACCGGAAATCTTCTGGGGGGCATAAATTGAAACAGTCTCAGTGCTTTCAAAGTTAGTGGTATCAGATTTAGGTAAAAATCCTAGCTCCTTTGGTTGGCACCTCTGGGGTCAGCCCTCCCTTCAATGGGGAAACTCAGAAATGCCTAGAGCATGTTGTCACCTTGTGGAGGAGCACACTGATTTGACACTGAAGAAGAGGATGGGGTTCTAACCTAACGTGTAGAGCACAGTGTCCCCGCAGCAGCATGGTAACTGAAGACTAAGGAGACGTAGTTCAGAGAGGAGTTTCCTGAAGTGGCTTTGGCAAGAGAGCCATGCCTGACGAACTAACATAGAACTAACAGAGAAACCCAGTTCTTAAAACACACTGCAGTAAAATGAGGACTTTAAAAAAAAAAAAAATGTGATTGCCACACTCCTGCAGGACAGAGCAACCAAATTTGCCTTTCATAATTAAGGAGGAGAAGGAAGGAAAGCCAACTCCTGTTATTTCTGCTGCTCAGATGTTCCTAGTTACTTTCTTTAGATGGAGCTGCCCGGGCACACAACTTTAATACAGCTAAAACCCAGAGGTAGAAATGTCGACTCTTGGTTAGCATTGACATTTTCTCCCATAGCCAGTCCTATTTATTTCTTAACCTCTAGGTTGGTCTGTCTGTCTGTCTGTCTGTCTGTCGTGTCATCCTCCCCCCACCCTCCTGCACTACTTTTTTTTTTTCCTTTTCAGTTTTTGTTTTTAAGCCATATTCTGAGATTTCTTTTGAAAACAAATACCTGCTGTGGTCCGTGGAATTGTGAATCCCTGGTGTCCTCTCCCACTGTGAATGTCTTAGGAAATTCAACTGCCTTTTAACTGAAAATAGAATTTTTGTGCGTCTTTGATTAAAATAAAATGAAACCACTTCCTCCTTACTTTTCGCTGCTGTAATGAAATGTTGTTCTTCTGAAAGGATGCGATCCTAATTTGAAACGTGCACTTGGAGTCAGGATGGCAAACAACTTTCTTTTCCCCTTTGCCTGCAGCACTGCCCCCGAAGCCACCCAAGCCCACGACTGTAGCCAACAACGGCATGAACAACATGTCCCTACAGGATGCTGAGTGGTACTGGGGAGACATCTCAAGGTAAGGCCGTGCGTGGGGCTCTGCCTGTCCACCAGATGCAGGGAGGCTTCCAGTAAGGGAACAGAAAGCACCAGCTTGCTGAGTTCCATTTTTAGGATGTCATCCAACATAAGCATGAAGCATAGTTGGTTCTCTTCCAAAGACGACCAGAAAAGTCACCGAGCACCAGAGCAGTGTGGGTGCTGGATGACACAGGAAATTAAATACCCAGGAAGCTTCCCTGTGGACAGAGAGGTCAGGGAAGCGCCCAGGGTGACAGAGCACTGCCCGCTTTCTCTCTAGTGAGCAGGACTTTGGGAATTCAGGTTATTGCTTCCCTCATAAACCCTTGTAGCTTTTCGAGTGCTTAGTGAGTGGGCTGGAGGAGCCTCTTTGTGGACTATGACTTTCTGGGCCGATTTATCAGAAACTGTTTTAAGGGGGGGGAGATCCTTGTATTATAGAGATGCCAATTGTGTAAATGGGTGTATGCATACGTAAGTGTAGGTGTCATGCACTTATTTTTAGTGGGAATAATTTATGACATTTCTGTATAAGCAATGAGAAATTGTTCATTAGTTTTATGTGCAATAGCGACATGTGACCCCACAAGGACAGGAGGATGTAAGATGTGGGACCTCTGGATTTTCTGCTCAGTGACTGTGAAGGCTAAGGGTATGGCCCCGTGGTACAGCAATCCTGAGTGCAGGAGGGGAAATGGTGTGCAAGTCTGTCTGTCTGTCTGTAAGTGTGTGGTCTTTCAAAGTTGAAAAGTAAGCATGGTCCTTCATTGTGCTCATTCCAGGGAAGAAGTGAACGAAAAGCTCCGAGATACAGCGGATGGGACCTTTCTGGTACGAGACGCGTCTACTAAGATGCACGGCGATTATACTCTTACACTAAGGTGAGCCAGGGAGGCAGCCGTAATGGGGATGTCTGGGATGTCATGAAAACACTTCATTAGAGTTCTTTCTCCTTAAACCTGCACATAATGTAATGGTTTCATTATAGAATTTTGAAAGATGCTTGTTCTTCCCTCTCCCCGACTCCTGTCTCCCTCCTGTAAGAGCCCCCCCCCAACCCGACTACATCAGAAAACTTTAATAATCATTAGTTTCCTATTGTATTTACAGGAAAGGAGGAAATAACAAATTAATCAAAATCTTTCACCGAGATGGCAAATATGGCTTCTCTGATCCATTAACCTTCAACTCCGTGGTTGAACTAATAACCCACTACCGGAATGAGTCTCTCGCTCAGTATAACCCCAAGCTGGATGTGAAGTTACTCTACCCGGTGTCCAAATACCAGCAGGTAATTTAATCAGCACTCCTCCCACCGCAGGAGCACAGGGCCAAGCCACTCTCCAGCGTGGAAAATGATTTGAAATTGGCTTTTGACAAACTTTGCACCATGACTGGAATTTCACAATGGCTGAATCAGATAGCATGTTGGCTGTTTCAGTAAGGACTGTTACTGGAATAAATACCTTATCAACTGAGTTTTTTTTTTCCCCCTTGTATATCCTTTCCAGGATCAAGTTGTCAAAGAAGATAATATTGAAGCTGTAGGGAAAAAATTACATGAATATAATACTCAATTTCAAGAAAAAAGTCGGGAATATGATAGATTATACGAGGAATACACCCGTACGTCCCAGGTGAGTTTAAGATAGTTTTGACTAGTACATGTTATAGTCAGATTTAAAAGAAGAATTGTGTCTAACCCATTTCCGTAGAGCCCATGCGTATAAGAATCCCACATTAGGCTTGCTTCTAACTAGCAGGGCCATTGGGAGCTTTCAATCCATGCAACATGAGTCCTGACTCAAGACTTCTGTTTAGCCCGGACTTTAATAATAACTGCTAATGGTGGTTTGTCCAAACTCTGGGACGGAAATTTCATATCCATCCCCTCTGCTGTGAGGAGAAGCTACTGTGTCCACTGTGTTGATTGCCAGAGGAGAAAATAGCATGGATGATAATAAAGATTAATTGAAAAGACTGACAAGGTTGTGCCTACACATTTAGGAACGCACACACAATAGTTAGTGAAAAAGAGGCCATGAATTTGAAAGAGAGGAAGGAAGGGTATACGGGAGGGGATAGAGAGGGGAAAGGAGAAAATGATATCATTATACTGTAGTCTCAAAAATAAGTAAAAAAAGTAATTTTAAAAAGTGAAGGTAGACAGAAAATTCTCCACAAGACACGTTTGTTTCTATATCCTTTAACTAGAGTTTGTGAATTCCCGTTCAGCCCGGCCAACAGAGCGCACGCCGGCTTTCCCTATCTCCTGGTCCTGTATTGAGGTGTACAGTACAGATTTCTCCCCACTCCCCACCTCCTTGCTACTGTTGGCTAAGCAACACAGCACGGCTGTTTACATAGCATTGATGTTGTATCAGGCTTAAGCAATTTAGAGATGATTTGGAGTTGATGAGAAAAATCGCACGGCCCCCGCATGGCCGTGGCATCATTTCAATAAGGAACTTAAGCATCCTGGCTGTTAGGGGCCAAGAGGGCTCCTGTAACTAAGCTGATGGTGCCCACAGAAGCCTGTACCAACCAGCAGCACGTCTGCATCGCATCACTAGCTAGCTTGTCTCTCGCCGTGAGAAGTCGTGTTCTGAAAGGGATGACATTGTCTTATGAAACTTGTGTTGCAGGAAATTCAAATGAAAAGAACAGCTATTGAAGCATTTAATGAAACCATAAAAATATTTGAAGAGCAGTGCCAAACCCAGGAGCGGTACAGCAAAGAATACATAGAAAAGTTTAAACGTGAAGGCAACGAGAAAGAAATTCAAAGGTAGATGAACCACGAGCACCCCCTGTACCCTTGTGACAGAAGGAACAAAAAATTGTTTAAGAACTGATGCTCCCCGTTCCTCACATTTGAGCAATTTTAAGATGGAATACCCAAAGCTTCCTAAATTTTGGGGGGAACCTTGCGTGGTGTGCCCAGATACTTAGCAATATGTTTTTCTCCTGCCTGCAGGATTATGCATAATTATGATAAGCTAAAGTCCCGCATCAGTGAGATCATTGACAGTAGGAGGCGGCTGGAGGAAGACTTGAAGAAGCAGGCGGCTGAGTACCGCGAGATCGACAAGCGCATGAACAGCATTAAGCCAGACCTCATTCAGCTGAGGAAGACAAGAGACCAATACTTGATGTAAGTGTTTGAAACAGAGCCCCAAGAGCTGACAGTGGCTGAAATCAAAGGCGAGTCCTCAACGGCCTTTCTTTTTCTGCAAACCTCTTTCAGGTGGCTCACGCAGAAAGGTGTTCGGCAGAAGAAGCTGAACGAGTGGCTGGGCAACGAAAACAACGAAGAGTGAGTAGCTACCGAGGATGGGGGCAGCCGGCCTTAGCACATCTGGCAAGCGAAAATGTGTAAACTCGGTAGCATTAGCCAGTGAAAGTTGAGCCCAGGAAGACGGGGCTGTTTTTTGTTTCATTTTGTTCTTTGTTTTCCCCATAATTGTGTAAATTGACTCTGTGTCCATAATGATGTCCCTGAGCTTCAGAAAAAAAAAAAAAATCCCCAAATATTTTTGGAACAATGAGAGAAAAACAATTATGTTTAGTTTCGTTTGAAGGTGAAGTATATGTTTGGTTTGAATTATTTGAGCACTGACAGTCTTCTCAGTACTGTCTGCCCAGGTACCTAAGGGCGACTGCCAACTTGAAGATGGAGATAGTAATAACTCTGCTAGCGATCCACCCTGGGGGAGGGGTGGCGAGGAGGCTGGAAGGGGACCCTGGGGCAGGCCAGGATTCCCACCGCCTTCTCTCACTCATCTTTGCTTCTGCCTGGACAGCCAATACTCACTGGTAGAAGACGACGAGGACCTGCCCCACCACGATGAGAAGACTTGGAATGTCGGAAGCAGCAACCGCAACAAAGCCGAGAATCTATTACGAGGGAAGCGAGATGGCACTTTTCTTGTCCGGGAGAGCAGTAAGCAGGGCTGCTACGCCTGCTCTGTGGTGTAAGTAGCTCCAGAAAACTTACTCGTTATGTTTCCTTCATCTATTCATTTGAAAGATCAGGATCTGAAAGCATGTTAACCTTGGAGGATCATACTATGGTTGGTCTAGCCAGACAAATGAATCCATTAAGAACCTAACAGAGAGACACCTGTCACCAAATAGTAGGACAGCTGGGACTTGGGTTCCAATATTGGGACAAGTTAATTCCTAGATGTCTTGAGGTCTTTTCCCCCCTCATCTTAATTATAAACAGAAGTGGCCATGCCTTCCCACTGTCCCCACCCCTCTAAAAGCCAGTAGAGTTAGAATTCAAGGTTATGTTTTGTGAGAACATCACCGAAAATAGATAAAGGAATCCTTCAGGGACTGACCAAAGCAAGAAGAGAGGTAGGACCCCACTGCGGTCATGCAGAGATACACGCGGAAGGAGGCATAGTTCTGTCTTGTCGCCTAGTTTGTTTTATTTCATAATAGTTTAGGGAGTACTTTGAAAAGTAAAATTTGAAGGTTGATCTTGACGTCTGTAATCCTAGCACTCAGAGTGACTGAGACCAGCAGAGGCTGTGTATGGAGACCCTGAGTCAATCAAAAGAGCCACAAGCATCACTGGGACAAAGAAATAAATGTCCTCTTGTGTGGAAAGGCACTACTAATACCTTATATTCTATGGCCAATCACTGCTTCATGTAAGAGCTGTTCCTATAAGACAGAGATAGGGAGAACTGTGATTAGGACAGGAGAATGAGAGAACAGAATTCAGAATAAATGCCAAGGTGGGGAGCTATGATGACGTTTCCAGGAGAGCCTGGATGAGACCTGCTGATCATAGCTGGAGGAGAGCTAGAACGTAGTCTCACAGAGACAGTGCTATCCGTACCCAGGAGGTGGGAAACTGCCACCTGTCACATGCTTGCCAAATGTAACATGCAACCACGCATCTTCAAGCACTCATCTCATCTCACAGGCACCCTAACACATGTGATGCCCCTCTCTCCTTTAAACCATTTAACCATTGACCAGTCCAGTGAAGCAGGCCCAGAGGATCAGCCCTTGTGTGTGTGCCTTGACCAGTAAAAGTGGCGCTAATAGTTCACTGTGGCTTTGAGGCTTTGGCTCCCCAGGAGGGGACACAGACCCACTCACTGTGCCCTTCCCTGATGATGATGACATTGTTAAAAAATAGCCTGCAGCATTCCAGATTGTCTGAGACCAGCTCAAAAGACTCTTGTGGTTCCCTCTCCCCCCTGCAGGGTAGACGGCGAAGTCAAGCATTGCGTCATCAACAAGACTGCCACCGGCTACGGCTTTGCTGAGCCCTACAACCTGTACAGCTCGCTGAAGGAGCTGGTGCTACATTACCAACACACGTCCCTCGTGCAGCACAATGACTCCCTCAACGTCACACTAGCATACCCGGTATATGCACAACAGAGGCGATGAAGCGCGCTGCCCTCGGATCCAGTTCCTCACCTTCAAGCCACCCAAGGCCTCTGGGAAGCCAAGGGCTTCTCTCTCCAGCCCGACCTGTGAACTGAGCTGCAGAAACGAAGCCGGCTGTCTGCACGTGGGACTCGAGCTTTCTTGGACAAAAAGAAGTCGGGGGAAGACCCAGCAGCCTAAGGGCTGTTGGATGATTAGACATTTCTAACCTTGTTCTTTTTCTTTCTTTCTTTTTTTTTAATTTAAAGCCACAAACCAACACACAGAGAAAAAGAAATGCAAAAATCTCTCCGTGCAGGGACAAAGAGGCCTTTAACCATGGTGCTTGTCAATGCTTTCTGAAGCTTTACCAGCTACAAGTTGGAACTTTGGAGACCAGAAGGTAGACAGGGCTGAAGAGCCTGCGCCTGAGACCGCTTGGTCCAGCCTGGTTTAGCCTGGGTGTCGCTGGGCGTGGTGAACCCAGACACGTTGCACTGTGGGTTATTTCCTTTATAATGGACGAACGATATGGAGCAGAGAGGCGCATCTGCTCCCACGGGACACTTTGAGAGAACACCGACATGGTATGTTCGGAGGAAAAACAGAAACACCGGAAAATGTCTTGCTTAAAACTTGTGAAAGCAACCACAAAAACATGAGTGTGGACAAGGGGACTTGAAAATGACATTCAGTATATAAAATATGTATATAATATTGGGTGACTAACTATCAAATAGATGGATTTGTATCAATACCAAATAGCTTCTGTTTTGTTTCGCCGAAGGCTAAGCGTGCAGCGCTATGCAAATCTTCATTTTTGTTATGTTCTTACCAGTTTCAAATACACCTTCAGAATAAGCTTCCTTCATCCCAATTTTTTTTTTGTTGCTTGAAAATACTGTTTCTCGTTTTTGTTAATATTTGTTTTGTTATTCTTACTTTTTTTTTTTAAAAAAAAAGAAATGTACAGGATGCCAGAAAGGTAAATGGCTTAAGAATTAAAACTATGAAATATTTTACAGTTTCTCTTGTACAGAGTACTTGGCTGTTAGCCCAAGGTTAAAAAGTTCATAACAGATTTTTTTTTTTGACTAAATGTTGGGCAGGGCCTGATAAGCTTCAAAGCTGCTTTATTCAATAAAAAAGAAAAAGAAAATGATATATGATATGACAAAGTATTGCTGAGTCCAACAGTGTTGTTTTAAGACTCTTGAACTACGGTACCTGGCAATGTTTATTTCCTAGTGAATTGTGAACTTCTTGAATCTGGAGGGGAAGGTAGCCACAGGTCATCACCAGGGTGGGGGTGGGGGTAAGGTGGTGTGCACTTTTTCGGGATTCCAGAGAAGGGGGGCTGCTTGTCCCCATCTTTCCCCGTCTGGGTGCGGTAGGCATTACCCATCAACAGCGACTCCAGACCTACTGTAACTCCATGCAGTGCAGCTGGCCAGCATCTCCCTTCTCATGAAGGAAGTGCTGAGTTTGTTTGGGGGTTCCTGGAACGTGCTCTCTTTGTTGTTGTTGTTGTTGTTGTTGAACACACTGGTTTTCAAGGTTGAATCCCTGCATTTGAAAATGTGTTCTTTCTCTTTTTTAATATCGGACTAGTCACGGCAGCCGGCCACCCTTCCTTTCAGCAAAAGCATGGTCTGATAAACAATCCTTTTAGTTGGACGCTTGTTATTTTCCTGGCTCTCCGTTCACTTTAGAACGGACAGCGAGCAGACCGACCCGAGTAGATGGTCGCTGTGCTTTGTGGAAATGGCAGTTCTTCTCACCCACATCTTTGTGCATGCCGTACTTCACGGTGAGGAAGGGGAGCAGGTGGTGGCCTCCTTAGGATAAGAGTCGAGTTTCCCTACCCTGCTGTACGCGTGTGAAAGCTGGCGTGTTTGTCGGAAATTGTCATGTGCTGTGAAGAGGGGAGGCCAACCAAAGTCACGGTCACAGCCCTGGTAGACTCAAGGGCCATCTCTTCAGTTTCACGGTCCCTTTCTGTATCAGGTGCACCCACGACTTTCTCTCCCCTTTCGAGACTGAGGTGAAGGGTTTCTGTGTCTTTGAATGTTGCTGTCTTCACCTTTTGGAATTTGCAGCCTAGTGGCTGGGTGAATGGTCTGTAGAACGTATTGTTTTTCTTCCTCTGAAGCCACTGCTCATCCTCTCAAGCAGAAGTCGGTCAGCCAGACTGTGAGCCTGCAAACTTGACTCCTCTAAGCTGACTGCGCCCTTATTGCCAGACAATTGATGATGTCCCTGGGTTTACTCTGGGCTTTGCAACCTCCAGTGGCAGCATTCTGCCATGCCGCATACGACTGAACGGTCAATTGTAAGCTAGGTTTGCAGGTGGACTTTGCTTTCTTTCTTTTTTTCTTTTCCTTTTCTTTCTTTCCATAGCACATCATGTATGCTATCAAACGCAAATAACTTTCGTTTTAGTTTTAAAATGGATCTGAAATTGGCCATTTCATTACAAGTTCTGTTACCGTTTTTTTTTTTTTTTTCCCTTCAACACTCTTTGCAAGATGACTTTCAAAACCATCTCATCTCATGAACTTGGGCACAATAGATTTTCCATCGTCAGAAGGCAGAAGTCATTTGCCCTCTACAAGAGGGAGCTCTGCCACACCTGTCCTGCTGAAGGCCTTTATGATGACAGGTTAGTCATGACGCCCACCAAGTCTGTCCTTAGAGACGTTTGGTCATCACGTCTCCATGATTCCATCCAGAAGCGTTCATTGAGTGGCCCGTGAGTGTAGATGGATACAGCACTCCTGATCTGTAAGTGTGCCTACATAGTTTTTCTCCCATCCTAAAGACAGCCAGACACTAAGCTGCGGACAGGCTGAGCTAGACCATAGAAGTGGGAGGGCTGGGACCTCATGTTCCACACCAGAGCGGTCACAAACCACATGAAAAGGCAGCAAGCATATGTTTGCAACATTTGGCAACTTCACGGCCCTGGATATATGTATATATGTATATGTGCATGGACTGTGTTTCCAGTACACTTTTCAGCCACGCAGAGCCACAGTCGAGTTCAAGTGCATACCAAGCAGATGTCTAGTGCAGTTCTTGTATATGTGTATGGTCTTCTTTCCCTTTGGTGTTGCTTTGTGTTGTCTTATAAAGGTGAAACGTGTTGGCAAATGAAGCGAGACAGTCATCCTTTGACTTTTCTTTCTGTTTTTAGAAGCTATGCCCTTGGAGGGAGCGGGTCTGGGTGACTTGCTTTCCTGACGCAGCCTCGTTTTTTCAGCGTTGTCAAGTCAGTGTGTGTGTGTCTGTGCGCCGTCCTTGTGAGGAACCAATCGCTTTGTCATAGATCTGGTCTTGAACTAGTAACTTGTTTGGGAAGTCCTGCTGATGATGTTCCTTATTGGGAGACAGTTCCTGCTGGTTTTCCCAACTGTGCTTTTCGCAATGCATGATATCTGAGTCCGTTGGAAAGCGGGCTTTGCTGTGTCTGTTCGAATTTAGGGTCATTTTAAGAAAGGGGCAGTTAAAAGCACAATGCCTCACATGGGACAAGGTTCCAAAATGCCAAATTCTCCTATTTTTTACGAAAATCTATTAGTTATATAAAATAACTAGTACTGGGGGTAGGGAGGAAGTGGCTCCACTGGTCAGACGCCCCAGCTTCACACTGAACTTGTCACCATGAGATAGCATTGGCTCCCCAGGATGCTGCTATTTCAGAAAAAAAAAGCAAAACAAAACAACAAAAAAATACCCCTCATTTATACGTGTGTATTTTTTAAAGCTACACTCTGTTCAATGTTTTTACAGATCTGTTTATATGACATTGATAAAAATAAAGTTGGTCTTTTGACGAGAGGGAGGATGTGATTTTGACGAGAGGGAGTTGTAATTTTTGCCTTTACAAGGCAAGGGGGGTGGGGAGGGAGTGTGCCTCCTTGACATTTTGTTCAAGCTATAGATTCAGTGAAGCTATGTATTGTTTTAAGTTGCTTAATGCATTGTATCAGGTCCTCAAACAGAATAAAGGTTGTTTTGAAACTTAAAAGTTTCCATCTGGAATTCTAGTTCTCACCAGAGACATTTCTAAACCTCCACCCACCCATTTGTTCCTCTCGTCTAACTCAGCTTTATAAACAAAAGGTACAGATTGGTCGCTTGGGAGTGCTCAATATTATTTATGTAGCATCTTAATGCTTTTATGGTAAAATTACATATATGTCTAGGTGGTTGCATTTCAAGGCTTGTTTTTTTTTTTTTTTTTAAAAAAGTCTCATTTTCCTGCATCCTTCCTGTCCTTCACTTAATCTTAACCTTTAGCTACTAGTACCTATGGCTTTGGAAGGCTTCTTGTAGTGATAAGGTGAGCAGGCCTGCTTTTCATCCGCCTGGCTCCTGCATGGCTAGCTTTACACATGAAATAACAAACATACACATTGTATTCACTTAAACACTGCCTAGCCCCTTAGCTCTAGCCTCTTACTGGCTAATTCTCACTTCTTGATTAACCCATTCCTATTAATGTGTGTAGCACCATGAGGTGGTGGCTTACCGGGAAGATTCTAACCTGCGTCCATCTCAGAGAGGAGAGCTATGGCGTCTGTCTCACTGCCTTCTTCCCAGCATTCTGTTCTGTCTACTCCACCCATCTATGTTCTGACCTATCAGGTCAAGCAGTTTCTTTATTAATTAACTAATGAAAGCAAAACATAGAAAGAAGACCCACTACAACAGCTTCTGGTGTTGTCTTTTGTACACTGGGTAACTTAAACTGGTACAAGAACAGAATGCAGTGGTGAGACCTGAGGTTATAAATGGGGTCAAGTTACTCCCCTAATACCAGTTAGAATCGCAGTGCCTGGCCAAGAAGCAGCTCTTCCTATGAAACAACTTCCCCACTGACATTTCCTGCTTGCTGAAGCTATGGCTGCACCGCTGTGTGTGTACATACATGGGTCCCACATTTTATGTGTTGAGCACAGTGAGGCTGCTGGATAAGAAGACTTGATCTAGGAGAAAGTGTGAGAGTAAGCCACTGTCATGCCAACAATGGCCACTGCATGTTAAGCATGGCAATGGCTCTGAGGTTAATGCCCTGTCTATTTCTAGCTCTGGGACATCACAGAGCTCATTTCCTGGATCTTATACCCTCTGGTTTCCATGAGCGAGTCTCCTCCATGGCTGCAGTTTCTGCTGTATTGATTGTCTCCTACAGGTGCGAATGATAGCCTGTGTATTTGCTCTTCGATAAGGCTCTAGTCAAATTTTCCAAATATCTGCAGCCTGGTGATGCTTTTAACTCTATTTTCCCAATATAGCTTCATTTTGGTTTCTGAACCCTTTCGTCTACTGAGTGAGTCTCCTTACTTAATTCTGCCTGTCAGGAGCACTGACCTGTATTACCTAGTGTCAGGGATACATTCTGGAAAATGGAATGCCTGTATAGTTTTGTCACTGTGTGAATGGCATAGAGTGTGTTTGCATGCACCTAGCTAGCATAGCCTGTCGTACTACACCTGGGCTGTATGGCATGAACCTATGGGGCTCCTAGGGCCCAAACAGGCTACAAGAATGTGAGAGGAGATGGATGGAGCACAAGAACAAATGGTACAATCAAGACACGTGAACTTGAGCTGTCTGGGACTACTGCTGGTGTAACATAGCAAGCTTCCACAGAAAACACTTTATACTTAGGAGTGTGCTCTAAAATACATCAACTACATAAGCCAGTCCCCCAACATGTATATACGAGTTAGAAGATATTACCCCCATCCTACAGATTGGAAAAGCCTAGATATGACATGACTTACTCAAGATCTTGTAGCATGTTAGAACACATAGTGTCAAGGTCATCTCACTCAAAGCTAAGGCACCCTCCCCCCTCAGGATAGAATCTAAAGACTTCCCACGAAAAAACATGCATGGAACAGTTCAAAGAAGGGCCACTAGGAACTCTTCCTGCTAGGGAGTAAACAATGTGGTGAGTGGTAGCGAGGACGTGGTGGCCAATGACGAATGGCCTGGAATAGCATGATGTTGCTCAGAACACAGCAGCATCAGCAGAGAGAACATGGTGGCCAACAATGAATGGTTTGGAATAGCATGATGTTGCTCAGAACACAGCAGCATCAGCAGAGAGAACATGGTGGCCAACAATGAATGGCCTGGAATAGCATGATG